TCTCCCATATGAATATTTTTTTAAATTTAAATCTATTTTATTTTAAGACTTTTACACCCAATCCTCACCATCCAAAATACGTTATTTTCACCCAAAATCTCATATTTTCCCCTCACCATTTTGCGGATCCGGCTGAGCACGGTGTCGATGATCTCCTTCCAACAGCACCAACAACCCTTCAACCTCCCACTAATTCTTTGTTTAAATCTATTTTATTTCACAATTTTTCCCCCAACCCAAAGTTCAACTGTACCATCCACAATACGTTATTTCCACCCAAAATCTCATTTTCCCCTCACCATTTTCCTGATCCGGCTGAGCACGGTGTCAATGATGTCCTTCCAACAGCACCAACAACCCTTACACCTCCCATATGAATAATTTTTTTTTTTAATTTAAACCTTTTTTTTTCACGATCTTTCCTCCAACCCAAGGTTCAACCACAACATCCAAAAAGTGCAATTTTCACCCAAAATCTCATATTTTCCGCTCACTATTTTCCTGATCTGGCTGAGCACGGTGTCGATGATCTCCTTCCAACAGCACCAACAACCCTTGCACCTCCCATAGAAATATTTTTTAAATTTAAATCTATTTCATTTTACAACGTTTTCACCCAACCCAAAACTCAACTGCTCCATCCAAAAAGTGCAATTTTCACCCAAAATCTCATTTTCCATCACCATTTTCCCTATCCTGCTGAGCACGGTGTCGATGATCTCCTTCCAACAGCACCGACAACCCTTCAACCTCCCATATGAATATTTGTTTTTTAATTTAAACCTTTTTTTTTTTTCACTAGTTTTCCCCAACCCAAAGTTCAACCTCACCACTCAAAAAGTGCAATTTTTACCCAAAATCCCTCATTTTCCCTCTCCATTTTCGGGATCCTGCTGAGCACAGTGTCAATGATCTCCTTCCAACAGCACCAACAACCCTTCAACCTCCCATAAATTTAACGATTTATTCCCCCAAATTTAACGACTTGTTTCCCCAAACCAAAGTTAGACCTCACCATCCAAAATACGTTATTTTCACCCAAAATCTCCTATTTCCCCTCACCATTTTGCGGATCCGGCTGAGCATGGTGTCGATGATCTCCTTCCAACAGCACCAACAACCCTTGCACCTCCCAAAAATTTTTATATAAATCTATTTCATTTCTAGACTTTCACTCCCATCCAAATTTCAACCTGACCATCCAAAAAGTGCAATTTTTACCCAAAATCTCATATTTTCCGTCACCATTTTCCAGATCCAGCTGAGCACGGTGTCGATGATCTCCTTCCAACAGAACCAATAACCCTTGAACCTCCCATATGAAATTTTTTTTTTTATTTAAACCTTTTTTTTTCATGATATTTCCCCCAACCCAAAATTCAACCTGACCATCCAAAAACTGCAATTTTCACCCAAAACCTTTCATTTTCCCCTCACCATTTTTCGGATCCGGCTGAGCACGGTGTCGATGATCTCCTTCCAAATGCACCTCCCACAATTTTTTTTTAAAATTTAAATCTATTTCATTTCACGACTTTTCCCCCAAACCAAATTTCAACCACACCATCCAAAATACGTTATTCTCACCCAAAATTTCTCGTTTTCCCCTCACCATTTTGCAGATTCTGCTGAGCACGGTGTCGATGATCTCCTTCCAACAGCACCAACAACCCTTCAACCTCCCATAGAAATATTTTTCAAAGTTAAATCTATTTTATTTTACAACGTTTTCACCCAACCCGAAACTCAACTGCTCCATCCAAAATACACAATTTTTACCCAAAATCTCCTATTTTCCCGTCACCATTTTGCGGATCCTGCTGAGCACGGTGTCGATGATCTCCTTCCAACAGCACCAACAACCCTTGCACCTCCCATATAAATTTTTTTTTAATTTAAATCTATTTTATTTCACAACATTTTCCCCCAATTCAGAGATCAACCTCACCATCCAAAATACGTTATTTACACCCAAAATCTCCCATTTTCCCCTCACCATTTTTCGGATCCGGCTGAGCACAGTGTCGATGCTCTCCTTCCAAATGCACCTCCCACAATTTTTTTTTTAAATTTAAATCTATTTTATTTCACGACATTTTACTCCCATCCCAAAGTTCAACCTGACCATCCAAAAACTGCAATTTTCACCCAAAACCTCTCGTTTTCCCCTCACCATTTCCAGATCCTGCTGAGCACGGTGTCGATGATCTCCTTCCAAATGCACCAACAACCCTTGTACCTCCCATGTAAATATTTTTTAATTTAAATCTATTTTATTTCACTACTTTTACCCCCAACCTGAAACTCAACCTCGCCATCCAAAAAGTGCAATTTTCACCCAAAATTTCATATTTCCCCTCACCATTTTTGGGATCCAGCTGAGCACGGTGTCGATGATCTCCTTCCAACAGCACCAACATCCCTTGTACCTCCCATAGAAATACTTTTTTTCTAATTTAAGCCTTTTTCATCTCACGATTTTTTCCCCAATTCAGAGTGAAACCTCACCATCCAAAATACGTTATTTTCACCCAAAACCTCTCATTTTCCCCTCACCATTTTCCAGATCCTGCTGAGCACGGTGTCGATGATCTCCTTCCAACAGCACCAACAACCCTTTCATCTCCCACTAATTTTTTATTTAAATCTATTTTATTTCACGACTTTCACCCCCAACCCAAAGATGATGCATTTCAACCTCACCATCCAAAATACGTTATTTTCACCCAAAATCTCTCCTATTTCCCCTCACCATTTTGCGGATTCTGCTGAGCACGGTGTCGATGATCTCCTTCCAACAGCACCAACAACCCTTGCATCTCCCATATAAATATTTTTTTTTAATTTAAACCTTTTTTTTCACAATTTTTCCCCAACCCAAAATTGAACCCGACCATCCAAAATACGTTATTTTCACCCAAAACCTCTCATTTTCCCCTCACCATTTTCCTGATTCTGCTGAGCACGGTGTCGATGATCTCCTTCCAACAGCACCAACAACCCTTGGCCCTCCCATATAAATATTTTTTAAATTTAAATCTATTTCATTTCAAGACTTTTACCCCCAATTCAGAGTTCAACCTCACCACCCAAAATACGCAATTTTCACCCAAAATCTCTTGTTTTCCCCTCACCATTTTGCAGGTCCTGCTGAGCACGGTTTCACTGATCTTCCAACAGCACCAACAACCCTTGCACCTCCCATATAAATATTTTTTTAATTTAAATCTATTTTATTTCACAACATTTTCCCCCAATTCACAGCTCAACCACACCATCCAAAATACGTTATTTTTACCCCAAAACTCTCATTTTTCCCTCACCATTTTTCGGATCCGGCTGAGCACGGTGTCGATGATCTCCTTCCAACAGCACCAACAACCCTTGCAACTCCCATAGAAATATTTTTTTAATTTAAATCTATTTTATTTCACTACTTTTACCCCCAACCTGAAACTCAACTTTTCCATCCAAAAAGTGCAATTTTCACCCAAAATTTCATATTTCCCCTCACCATTTTGCGGATCCTGCTGAGCATGGTGTCGATGATCTCCTTCCAACAGCACCAACAACCCTTGCACCTCCCACAATTTTTTTATTTAAATCTATTTTATTTCATGACATTTTCCCGCAAACCAGAGTTCAACCTCACCATCCAAAAAGTGCAATTTTCACCCAAAATCTCTCATTTTCCCCTCACCATTTTCCTGATCCTGCTGAGCACGGTGTCAATGATCTCCTTCCAACAGCACCAACAACCCTTATACCTCCCACAATTTTTTTTTCAATTAAACCCTATTTTATTTCAAGATTTTTTCCCCCAAACCAAAGTTCAACCTGACCATCCAAAATACGTTATTTTCACCTAAAATCTCATTTACCCCTCACCATTTTCAGAATCCTGCTGAGCACGGTGTCGATGATCTCCTTCCAACAGCACCAACAGCCCTTGCACCTCCCATATAAATATTTTTTTAATTTAAATCTATTTTATTTCACAACATTTTCCCCCAATTCACAGCTCAACCTGACCATCCAAAATGCATTATTTTCACCCAAAATCTCACATTTTTCCGTCACCATTTTCAGGATCCTGCTGAGCACGGTGTCGATGATCTCCTTCCAAATGCACCAACAATCCTTGCACCTCCCATTAATTTAAATCTTTTTTTTTTTTCACAATTTTTCCCCCAACCCAAAATTCAACTTCACCATCCAAAAACTGCAATTTTCACCCAAAATCTCCTATTTCCCTCACCATTTTCCTGATCCTGCTGAGCACGGTGTCGATGATCTCCTTGCCCACGCTGTAGTGGCCGCGGGCGTAGTTGTTGGCCGCGTCCTCCTTGCCGCTGATGAGCTGCTCGGGGTGGAAGAGGCCGTGGTAGGGACCGGAGCGGATCTCGTCTGT